CAGTTCCCACCTCTTCCCTTCTCCTGCAAGGACTCGTGCTTGTTCACAGCCTGGGGAAGCAGCAGGAGGGACACCCAGGGCAGCTCTGCAGGAGACCTGAAAACCAGATTGTCCAAAAGGCAGAATTTTGGTCACAGATTTGCTTTCCAAGGGGATGTTGCTCTCAAAAGAACTGGAAGATCGATGCGCACCAATCTAATGGATCTGTTTCCTTTTGCTTCCACCTTTTGTTCTGGAAAAGAGAAGGTGGAAGCTTTTTTTGGGAGGCTTTTCTGCCTTGAGAAGTTATTTCAGATTCACGTCTGGTCTGTGCAACAACCAAACAACACCCGGTGCGTGCAGGAGCAGCAGCAGGGGTCTGACTCCACTCAACGTCAGAGTCACTCGTACGTCAGTTATCAAATCCCCTTCATCCTTCCCCGGTCCCTTTCGGAAGCGGAGCCGTCTGACGGCGTTGTCTCATTTGCCAGATTGGATTTCAAGCAGGTCGATGATGTCTCAGGGTTTGCTTTGAAGAACTCGTGCTGCAGAGCAGCGATGTAATGTCATTACTGCCCCGCCGCGGCTCCGCGCTCAGCCTCCGCCGCTGTTACCCACATGCCCACTGCAATATCTCCTTCAAATCACGTCTGATCACCTAAGCCCACAAACCACGTTGGTGAGATCAAACCCGGCGTCTTCTCCAGCTTTTCACGGTGATGGTGTGGAGCCTCTCTTTAAACGTGGCACGTTCAAAGGGGTAAAGGCAAAGTGGAATTCCTGTGGGACATGTGCAGTGCGATCCGGCCACCTGGATCCAGATAGGGACTGGAACCCCTTTGGATTGATTGATTCATTGGCACAGGAAATCTTCCTGTAGGGCAGGTAGTGGCTGTTCCTGCCCTCAGTGAGCACCTGGATCCATTTGATCCCTTTTTAGGCACTCAGGGATGCACCTCAAGCAAGGTGATCTTTCCATATGTACTTTTTGGGTTTGTTTTTGGCAGAACAGTGGTGTCTCTGCTGGTAATGCCATGTCCTCTCATTCCTCTCTTTCTGGTGACCTCAGGGCAGCCTCCAGTGTCTGAAGGGGGCTACAAAGGTGCTGGAGCTCTTCATCCAGGACTGCAGTGATAGGAGAAGGGGTGATGGGTTCAAACTGAAACAGGGCAAGTTCCGGTTGGAGATAAGGCAGAAGCTCTTCCCTGTGAGGGTGCTGAGGCGCTGGCACAGGGTGCCCAGAGAAGCTGTGGCTGCCCCATCCCTGGCAGTGTTCAAGGCCAGGTTGGACACAGGGGCTTGTGAGGAAGTCCCCACAAAAGGATGCTTGTCCAGGAGCCTTGGCACTGCTGAGTTTGGGGACCAGGCACGTTCTCATTGGGGTCACACAGCAGCAGCGCGTTTCGCAGCTTTGCCTCCACATTCTTTGCCCATCAGGGTTAATTCATCACATCCCAGATGTTCGTTCAGGCAGCATTATCCTGCTGGTGGAGGCTTGGGCCGTGCTGTACATGCTCTGCATGACGCTGTATTCTAGCAACTTACATTCAGGTCATGCTGACCTACGCTCACCTCTCCGTTGCCTCTGAATCACCTTTATCTGCCAGCTTTGCTTTACGCAGGAAAATGAAATAGAGGGCTTGCAATGTTTGCAGATACCCCCAGGATTGTTTGATTTTCCACCCCACGCACTAAAAGCAGAGGCTCTGCTGCTTTGCCGCAGCACTCCCTGTCCTCTGCGGCTTCTGGATCCCCCCATCCTGTTATCCACCTGATGTACCCAGCCAGGCATTAACTGTGTCAATGTTTGCCCGCACAAGGGCTCATTCCCTTCCCGGGCTGCAGCGCGCTGACCAAGGGCAGCAGCGCAGGAGCTGTGTTGAGTTCACTTCACTTCACCCAGGGCTTTGTGATGGTTTCAGTCAGAGGCACTGCTCAGACAGCCCGGGCAGCTCGTCCTCAGGCTTCAGCACAGGCTTCGGCACAGGCTCAGCTCCACGCAGAGGACCATGCTGCAGTGAGGTTGCATGCCTCGCAGCTCCTTCCAGGCTCTGTGTGGGGTCACCCTGCTGTTCCCAAGGTGGTGTAGTTGAATTAGACAGGTTTCAGGGTGGATGACAGAGCTGGAGACTGCAGTGCTCTGGGGGAAGATCGATTCCTGTTTGCAGCCACTGACCAAGGGGTTTTGCTTGAAGAGATGCACGAGGTGGACACTAAACCCAGGAGCATCGGTACACGAGAACCTGGGGAGCCTGGGAGGGTTTTACCGCAGCTGCTCCTGGTGCTGTCGTGGCAGGAGCTCGGCACAGGAGCAGGGGCCAGTGAAGGTCTCTGCAGATGTGGCAGTTTCACAGTTACAGGAACAGTCACGCCTGGGCTTCACCTCCTCTCGGTCCTGCCTTTCACAGGCTACACAAAGCCTCGCCGCCAGCTCAGATACCTCAAACACAGTGCAGGAGGCCTGCTGTTGGCACCAGGCACAGCAGTGAGGGCACGGTCCCCTGTCAAAGCTGCTTAAAGGGGTGATGTTTGCAGATGTGTCTGCAGCAAATCCTGATCCAGGGGACTCGTTTGTCCTCCCCTCTCCCATGCCCATGTACAGCTGCCCCTGGCCCGGGTCCTGGCACATGTAAGTCCCTCCTGCACTTACTGCAACCCAGACTGGAGCCTCCCTTCTCCATCCTTCCCTGGGACTTAGGACATGGCTTAAGGGTGGACGTGGTGGTTTTAGGACTTGATGATACTGAGGGTCTTTTCCAACCTAAATGATTCTGTGCTTCTGTGACTTCTCATCACAAAGCCTGGCCCCATGACATCCTTCCGCAGCATCTACCCACACCTTCCAGGACAGGACCGTAGTCCTGGCCCCACCAGTTCCATCATCTTCAAGCACAACCCTCTCACACACACAGAGAGCAGGGATCAGCAACAACGGCCCCTGCTGCTGGATCTTAGGTTTCTGCCCCATCGCATGTGCCCTGGGTGGTTACCTGGTGCTACAGCCTCATCCCTGCAGCCCAGAGGAGAGGGATTCCCCCTCACAGTAAGCCCCAGAGGAGATCCCAGCGCAGCAGAGCTGCCCAGCTCAGGCTGTGTGGTCCTCTGGGGGATCTGAAAAGAGGCTGGTCCATGTCCAAGCCCCCCCCACCAGCTCCTTTCCTCAGAGCTATTTCTGCCCCTCAGTAAATGGGCGACTTGGATGAACGTTGCTTCACTGCTGGTGATGCCAGAGCTGCCGGTGCCAATGCTGCTCCTTGGTAGGAAGTGAAAAGAGCAGCCTGCCAAGGAGCAGACCTCCCTTCTGGGCTGCAACCCCCCTCCCAGGCAGTCGCTGCAGCCAAAGAAACCCGTGTGTGCTCAAACAGCATTCGACTATTTGAAACTCTCTGAAGCAGAGGAGGATGGGACATGGAATGGCTTGGGCTGCGAGGACCTTTAGGTTATCCAGTCCCACTCTCTGCCACGTCCAGCCTAGCCTTGAGCGCTGCCAGGGATGAAGCAGCCCCAACTTCCTCAGCCTGTCTGCATACAGGAGCTGCTCTAGCCCCTGATCATCCTCAAGGCCCTAACTGCCTGCCAGCATCCCCTGCCCTGGACCTGCCAAGGCTGGAGCAACCCTGAGGGACCCTGCTGGGCTGGCAGGAGGCAGAACCCTCCCAGCAGCAGCCTTTGAGCCTCAGCATTCAGTTCAGACCCATGTGTGGACACAGACGGTGGAATCCTGCACTAGGAGGAAAAAGGAAAGTCAGAACTGGTTCCAGTGTGGTCACTGGGGCTTGGAGCACCCTGCTCCAGTGGAAGGTGTCCCTGCCCATGGCAGGGGTTGGAGCTGGAGGAGCTTTAAGGTCCCTTCAACCTGCTCCTGTTCTCCTGGATCTTCCTCACACCTTTCCTGTCCTTGTGTTTCTCCAATGAATGTTCCTTTCCTAAATGCTACGAACAGGGGTTTATAAAGGCTATTACATGGGAAGACCAAGCTCCCCACCTTTCCCTTCCCTCCTCCCCATCCCTGCTCACTCTCCTGCCCCTGCTCACGTGCTGAGCTCTGGCCTGTACAGCAAATGTGATCAGGAGTGACTCACATTGTCGGCATTTCCAGCGACGGAGCAATGTGTGCCAAGTGGGGGTGAGTCCCCCTTAGCTGCTGGGAAAGCAGGGGGGTTAAGATGGGAAAATAGATCAACAGATCCTTGGGCCTCTCCCTATCTACATGCAGTTCCTGTGCTTCTGGGGAAAGGGATTAAGCAGAAAACCACCAGGAATGACTTGGTGGGAAACATCAGCCTGCCTTCATAGGGGAGCTGCTCCAGCCCCTGATCATCCTTGTGGCCTCCTCTGGACTTGCCCCAACAGTTCCATGACAACGATTTGCTGGTGTCCATCCTGGGCAGTGCCCCGGCATGGTCTGGTTTACAACTACACACGTATCCTTGGGTCCAGTGGCTGCATTTACAATAGAAACCTCATAGGAGAACAGGCAAACCCATTAGCTCGCCTGTGTCTTGGTTTGTCAGCCACAGAAATAGGGGTTAATAGTAATTTTACAGTAATCTAGATACAACAGGGCCATCTGCGAGGTCATCCACTAATGTGTCAGTGTTTGGCTTGGTAATATTTAGTTTGGTTTTATTGTGCAATATCTCACAATTCTAATTAAACCGTCCGTGTCTCACGGGTCAGAGGGGGATAGATACAACCTCAACTCTGTTAACCCCTCAGGGAGATGCTGCAAGCACTCTTCTGTCAAGATTTATTGCTATTTGCATTACAGATCCACTCTGCAATAAGAACGATGCGCGTTGCCAGCCCAGCAGTTGCCAGCCATAAATCACAGCGAGCTGTAAACGTGTCGCCCAGAAAACCACCAGGAGCGAATCCTGCCGCCGGGAGAGCATCGTAAATGGGAAAGGATCATTTCCTCCTCGCTCGATTCCCCTGGTGCGGCTCACGCGGTTTGTGCGTGGGGAGCTGGGGCTCCGCCGGCTCCCGGGTGATTGGGCAGGGTCAGACCTCGGGGCGCGTTATAAGTGCTGCCCTCCCAGTGCCGGGATGCGGACGTGGGTTCTTCCTCTGCATCACAACGGGGTTGTGCTGCCTGCGAAGGTCCCAAAGCCGCTGGGCCCCCGACGCCGCGCTCGGTAAGTACCGCGAGCAATGGGCAGCACCTCCGTCACTGCACTCCTGTGGGTTATGGGGCTGGATGCCAGTGAGGTGGGGAGATGTGTGTCTGAAGCGCTGCTCAGAGGTCCGCACCACTCCATGGGGTGCCCTGGGCTGGATGGGCTGGAGGAAGCGGGTGGCTGGGATTTCAGGCAGCGCTGGCACCATGGTGCTGCTGGCGATGATGCACCCTTCATGGTGCTGCTTACCAGTGTGCTGTGGGCTTTGTGCAAGAGCCAGCCTGCTCTTCCACCCCCTGGCCTGGCTCAGCTGCTGGGAATGGCACGCTGCTGTCCCTGCCTGGGAAGTCAACAGAAACTGGGCTCTGTGGGTGCTGCATCCCCAGCGCCCCTTTGTGATCCTCCTCCCTTGGCTGAGCTCTCCCTTGGTTGCTTGAGTTGGCAGAGACGCAGTTGTGAAAACAGCAAAGTCTCCTCTTGGGAAAACGGAGGATCTCTGAGCCTCAGCCTTCCCCAGGCTCCCAAGCCCTGCTCTTGCCTACGCTGGGAGAACCCTCAAAGCACCGGCACTCCGCTTAAGTTATAGGTGAAAATCAGTCAGACAGGCAAGAAATCAGGAGGTGGCTTTTGGGGGCAGGAGCAGGAGGGCGAGCACCGTGTCCTGCGCGAGGAGCCTGCACCCGTGCCTGTCTCCTTCCCCAGTAGTCTGGGGAGCATAAATGCCTTGGGCAGATGTTTCCTCCCTGTGGCAGGGTGCTTGGCTCGTCCAGAAGCAAACACTGCCCACAGCTGCCTTTAGCCTTTTCAAGTACGTCCTGCACTGTCTGGAGGTTTGTTTCCTCGCCGGGGCTTGGCTGCAGTGTGAAAGGTGTATTTGCTGCACCAGGATAGTCAGCTGGGAGGTGTAGCATATGTGTGTGTGCTGTATGTCGTATATACACATATAAATATATATAAACACATTCCCATGCGTGCTTGATATATATTTCTATATTTTATGTATTTTATATATTTATATATATTATTTATAGACACACACATATATATATACACAGAGAGAGAGAGAGAAAACACAGAAGGAAAAAAAGCAGCTTGGAGTGGGATCCGTATCTGTAACACATAGAAGCACATAACACTCCAGAGCAGCTCAGGGAGGAGCAGAGGTAGGAGAGCCCATTCCTAAATAGCTTCATACAGCACAGTAGGAGTTGCCAGTGTCCAACAAAATCAGGTTGCAAGTAGGTCTTCTCATAGGAGGAGCATCCCTTATGGACCCCGGTGAGTTCTCACCAGTCTTTTCCCACTGTGCTCCAACAGCCTCTCCTCTTTATCCACCTCCATATTCCAGGAAACCTCTTGAACCTCAGTAACTCTGAGGGCTCTGATACCTGCCGGATGCTGCTGGGAGGGAGGCACTTAGGGACCAACAGGCATGCACAGATTTGGGTTTCTAACACAACCTCCAGAAACAGCTGAATTGCAGGAGGCCGCAGGTTGGTTCTCGCTGCTCAGATGCTGTTGGAGTGGCAGAAAGGGACAGCTCTTACCTTTGGGGAGCTCCAAGATGCCCCTTAGGACCAGAGATACTTCTGGACAGTTTCCTTCTGTCAATGTCAACTGCTGTCGATGCATTAGGAAAGCACTGGCTGCCCATCCACATCTCTGTCAACTCCTGAAACATGGAACCATAGAATAGTTAGGGTTGGGAAGGACCTAAAGCTCCTCCTGCCCCAGGCAGGGACCCCTTCCATAGAGCAGCTTGCTCCAAGCCCCTGTGTCCAACCTGGCCTTGAACACTGCCAGGGATGGGGCAGCCACAGCTCCTCTGGGCACCCTGTGCCAGCGCCTCAGCACCCTCATGGTGAAGGAGGGCTGTGACTTGTGTCACTTCAGCAGCTGACACTGACTCTGACCAAGGCAGTTCCTGACACTCACGTGTAACTTGGCAGTGAAGTGGAGGAAATGAATTGACTTCAGGTCTTCCTGGGTTCCCATCGGTTACTTGGTGCTTCTGCCCTGGAGCAGGAAGATTCATCCTTGCTAAGCTGTGGGATTTATTGCTGTGTTAGAGTCTCGGGTAGACTGAGAGGCTAATGGAGCCAAATTGCATTAGGAACATAATAACTACGTCATGGATGATACATGTGTTTATTCAAAATTGAACTGTGTTAGAGTAAACCCTCCTGCTCACAACTGAGGCACTCTCTGGCTGCTCGTGGTCATTAAGAAGGCGCATTAAGTCTGAAACCGCATGTATTTCTCTTCCTTAATCAGCTGTGGTTTTGCATATCCACTGCTTTCCCCATCCACCCAGCCAGTCATTCTGTTACAGAAGGCAGAGAGGAGGCTTGGGGACCCCATCAACCACTCCAGCAGCTCTGCTAGGGTGCTCTGTCGTGTGTAATGTAGGAACCTGGGTTGTGTTGAGATGGTCGAATCCTCCAGGAGGACTGAAACCTCATTGATTCATCAGATAATCCAGCTTGGAGACACTTCAGAAGATCTCTAGCCCAGTGCTCTGCTCAGAGCAGGGCCAACTATGAGGCCAGACAAGGCTGCTCAGGACATCATCCAGCTGGGTCTTGAAAACTTCTCAGCATGGAGATGCTCAGCCTCTCTGTGCAGGCTGTTCCAGTGCTTGACCATCCTCATGGGCAACATTTCTCATCATATCCAGGCTAAACCTCGCTTGTTTCAATCTGTACCTGCTGTCTCTGCACTGCTGTGCAGAGCCTGGCACAGCCCCTGTAGGTAGGTGAAGGCTGCTGTTGGGTCCCTGCAAAGACTTCTCTTCTCCAGGCTGAACAAGCCTCTTTCCTTGGTCTCTTACCCAGGGGCATTGCTCCAACCCTCAGCCATCCTGGTGGCTTTCTGCTGGCCTCTTTCTTGGTCTCTTACCCTACGACATTTCTTCAACTCCCACCCATCCCAGTGGAGCTCACCAGAGCAGACGTCTGCAGGTTTCTGTAAAGGCCTCACTCACCTCATACTCTTGATTCCTGTGTGAAAATCCCACCATATCCCTTGTGCCCTTTTCCCTCTGATTCAGACCCAAAGACTTTCCATGGGTGCCTCCACATTGCCCCTGAACCTGCAGCTTCTTTGACCTGTCATTAGCAAAGTCACAGGCACCTCACAAGTGGGGTTTTGCTCCTTTATTTCCCTTCACCCAACAGTGAGGTGGATTCTGAGATGAGCGACAACTTGGATGTGGGAGCTGCTGGAAATCCGCCTTGCCCTGGTGGCCAGCTGAGAGCAGCAGCCTCCACGTGCCTGACTCCCTGAGATATTTTGCATTTGTTTCCAATGAATTTCTTAACTAAGAATTCTGAGTTAAAATTCACCATGTTCGTGCCCTTTGACTCCGGTTAGCATCAAAACCAACCCAACAGCTAAACTGGGTTAGGATGGCTGTAGAAAAAGCATTTGCTCGCTCAGTAGAGCATCTCAGCCTGTGCAGTCTGGGGACATCTGTAAACCAGAAGCAGTCACCAGGAATCTTTTCACTTTTATTAAAAAAATAAAGCTTTTTTTTTTTCCTTTTAAAGACAGAATGTCCACCCTTTCCCTCCATTTTATAGTGTAATGTTAAACAAGAGCGTAGTCAGATGTGGCACTATGGTAGATGTACCAGTGTCCTAAACAGCATGGGTGACCTGCATAGGTTGGTGGGGAGGTGGAGGGATGTGGCACTTGTCATTACCCACTTCTGTACCCAGAGGAGAGTCCAACCGCATGGCGTTTCTGTCGTTGGTTTGTTTTAGGTGTAGGTCATGTGAGAGCTGAGCTGGGATGGAGCATGGCTTACACACCACGGGGGAGGTCAATGGCTCGTTCTATCAGCCCTCAGCTTTCTTCATGACGGGCATCCCAGGCCTGGAAGCCTTTCACCACTGGATCTCCATCCCTTTCTGCGCACTGTACCTTATTGCTCTCTCGGGAAACTGCATGATTCTATTCATCATAAAGAAGACCCAAAGTCTTCACGAACCCATGTACTACTTCCTCTCCATGCTGGCAGTCACCGACCTAGGCTTGGTTTTCTGTACCCTCCCCACTACCCTGGGCATTTTTTGGTTTAATGTGCGAAGGATTGGGTTTGATGCTTGCCTCACTCAGACGTACTTCATCCACACACTGTCCTTCATTGAATCCTCTGTGCTCCTCGCAATGGCATTCGACCGCTTCATTGCCATCTCCCATCCTTTGAGACATCCATCCATACTGACCAAGACGACTGTCATGAAAATAGGTCTGGCAATTCTAGTGAGAGGCATGGTCTCCCTTCTTCCCATCCCCTTCTTGCTCAAGAGACTGACCTACTGTGGGAAGACTGAGCTTTCTCACTCGTTTTGTTTCCACTCTGATATCATGAACCTCGCGTGTGCAGATATAAAAGTCAATGTCTTCTACGGTATGATTATTCTCTTATCAACGGTGGGGATGGACTTCATCTTCATCGTGCTGTCCTACATCCTGATCATTAAAACTGTGGTCAGCCTTGCAACCAAGGAGGAGTGTCTCAAGGCTCTGAATACATGTGTCTCCCACATCTGTGCTGTTCTAGTGTTCTTCATCCCAATGATCTCACTGTCCATGATCCATCGCTTTGGAAAGAACATTTCTCCTCTGGTTAACACTTTGGTGGCCTACACCTACCTTATAATTCCTCCTGCTCTCAACCCCATTATCTACAGCATAAAATCCAGCCACATCCGTGAGGCTTTGATCAGGGCACTGTGGAAGAAGAGTGAATCCGACTGGTAGCTCCTGCACCACTTCTGCCAGAAAGCACTAGTGGACTGGTTTCTTGGCCAGAAGTAGTAGACTGGTTTCTTGGTGCTCCATTCACACAGGTCACTCCAGATGTAAGAGCTGCACATCCACTCGGATGCTGTCCCTCAACCTAGAGCTGTGACCTTCCATGTTTTGTCCCAGCATGATGTCCCTTCCAGCAGCCTGCAAACTCCTCAAGAGTGAATGCCAGTGATGTAGACAGAGGGAAGCCCCACTCAGAGGGGGGCAATTGAAGGAAAATGGGCTGCATGGCTTTCTTCTGGCAAGTCAGAGAATTACAGAATCAACTCGGTTGGAAAAGACCTCTGAGATCACATCCAGTCAATGGACCTTTCAGGTCATTAAGTCATGCAATGGGGTGAATAAAGGACATGCGATGCATGTTGTGCAAGCTCTGGTAGCCAGATAACAGCAAGTAAGTTTCACTCAGACTCCCTTGCATGGGGTCATCGTTCCCTCACTGCATGCTACAGCATAGGCATAGCTAACCTGGGCAGCAAGCTCAACAGGGCCAAGAGTTTGGAGCCACTTTGAATATTCCAGTCACTGTCCAGCTGGAAGCACCCCACAAGATGGAGCCCAGCTCCAGAAGCATGGAGAATTTTCCGAGGGTTAGGTCCTGTTAAGCTGGCCAACAGCACTCTCAGTCCTTGTAACAAAAAGCTCAGCCTTTATCTTTACCTGTGTTTTTGAAGTGTGATACCATCACAGTGATGGAAGCCTGCTGCTTTTGCATCTCTTTGTGATGTCGTTGACTCCTACCATGTTCCCACTCTCAAGTTCCAGCCATTGTTTTGCATTGAATGTAAAGTGTGTGTGCAACATCTTCAATAAAACACATTTATTCATTGTGAAAAGGCAAAAGAGCTGGTTAAGCCATTTTGGTTTCTGTTTGTATGACAGAGATACCAGGTTGGAGTTGCTTAAAATCTTCAGTATTTGCTGTAGGTGAGTGAAGGATTGCATGGGGTGTGTATGAAGTATGTATGAATTATGTATGAAGCATTGCATGAAGTACTGCATGAAGTAGGTCTGCATCGGGATGGTGCTTGGGGGTCTGGTGCTGTGAAAAAAGCATAATGGGAATGGCTGACCTTGCTGGCCCTAAGGACCACTGCAGCCTTCCAGCTGAGATCTGCCAGGCACCCACTGAACCCTTCAGAGGGATGGGAGGAAACACCCAGGGCTGGGAGGTCCCAACATCCTATTGCTCTGCATAGCGTGCAGAAAGGTTCCATGGCCCCTGTGCCTTCCTCCCTCCCACAGACAGAATAAAATGGCCCCAAATCTTTCATGCCTCCAAATGCCTCTTCACACTAACCCAGGGTTAGTCTTTCTATTCTGCTCTACACAAACCAGCACCTGGAACAGAGAGAAAAGCATAATGAGGGAGCATCTCCACTAGGAAAAGGGAAAGGGAACATTCCCAAGGGGATGGTTCCCAGGACGCTGTTTGTTTTGTGTGAGTTATTTTGCTGAGGATCCCAGTGGGCCCTTGCACGGGGTAAAATACTCCTCAGCACAGCCTCAGATGCTCTGCCTGAGCCTCGGCACAGCAGGTCTTGGGGTGGAGGTGCCTTTGCACTGTGATAGCTCCCAATGGGAGCGCGCTTTGCTACTGCCACAGGGAAGATCAGCACAAGGGAACAAACAGAGCTCCCAGCAGAAAAGCCTAGAGGAGAGCTTTGCTGCAGCGATGCTTGTCTTGAGGACCCTCACACAGCACTGCTCCCATTCTGAAACCTTCCAGAGCTCAGCCATTCCCTGAAACAGCAAAAGCCCGAGGAGCCTCTGCCGCAGGCAGCAGAGGTGTGGGGAGGAACCGTGTAGGAGACACAGCAGCACACTTGTGAGCAGAGCTGGAGACCACGGTGGAGTGAGGGCTGCAGATGTGGGCATCTCCATCAGCCACCGCAGCAGAGCTTCACCTGCCGCCCTGTGTGCTGCCCAGCCTGTGGAGCTGCAGGGTACCAAGCGGGCAGCCGAGATTTGGGAACCTCTGCATAAGGTACTGTCTTTTAGAAGCACATGTTCTAAAGCCTTTGTGGCTGCCTCTGGGAGCTGTGGTTTAGCGTCTGTGTGAGGGAAGAGAGATGAAACACAACGCTGCTAATTCCTATTCTGTGATGCCCTGAGCCCTCTTTGTGCCTTGGGATCACTGCCACTATTGCCAATGGATTTATTTCCACAGGAAGAGCAGTGTGAGACATATCAGAGGCATAGCGGAGAGGAGAGGAGAGGAGAGGAGAGGAGAGGAGAGGAGAGGAGAGGAGAGGAGAGGAGAGGAGAGGAGAGAAAGATGGAAAGAGGAGGAGAAAGAGAGAATGGGAGGTGGAGGGAAGGGGAGAGGGAGAGAGGAGGAAGAGAAGAGGAAGAAGGAGAAGGAGGAGGAGAAGGAGAAGGAGAAAGAAGGAGAAGGAGGAGGAGAAGGAAGAGGAGGAGGAGAAGGAGGAAGACCATTCTGCCACCTCCATTTGGTTCGCACTGCCAGCTCCTCATGACCCAATCTTTTTCTGAGCCCTGCCCTAAGAAACTCTCCTGTTACCCTCCTGCATGCAGAGCGATGCTGCAGACCCTGCTGTGCTCTGTGGCTGCGTCCACACTATAATTAAAAGAGGGATAAGGCTAATTCTGTCCTGGAGACCCCTGATGCTTCCTGACCAGCTCCACAGCTCTTCCTCTTCACTTCCTAAGAACGAGGGCCTTACTTCACACCCAGTGGATGCTAATCCCTGCCCAGTGCTGCACGCTCCTTCATTCCTGGGGCAGGGCAAGCTGGAAGCAGTGTGGGATGTCAAGGAATGGGTTAATGGTGGTGGGATGATGCTCCAGCCATGTCCTGCTCACTTTAGTGCAGGCATCACTTGTATGGATCCCAATACAGCAAGTGCCTGCCCAGAGTGAGTGACGTGGCCAGGACTGGGCAGCACAGCTATGAGCAGGTTCAGCTTTTCTGCTTACAGGTCGTGACAAACAGCCAGGAAATAAAATCCCCCAAACTACACATTTAGTCAAATCATCGATTAAGATGAGTTCAATTTTGGTGGGAAAATACCTTGAATTTGAGTGATTCCTTCTGGTTTTCATTTTTCTCTTTTCCCTCTGAAGCAATAGTTTGATTTGGTTTACACTTTCATTTCTGGTGAGGTGATATAGAGAAATGGCTACATATTCAAATGGTTCCTTTTGAGGGGTGCATACATTCCTCCCCCACTGCCATATTGCAGTGGAGAGATGGACTCAGATGGTGCAGACAGTCCCATTGCCTGCTCCGTCCTGGGAAGTTGGTCTTAGGCCTATTTTGGTTCCCTGGGAGCAGCTGCTGCGGCTGCTGCTCATGGTCCTCCAGCTTGGGTGGGTTTGCTGCCTGAATGTGCTCACCTCTCTTTAAATGCAGTTACTGGGGTTTGTAAAGACACGGATCCAGTTTTCATCTCTACAGCAGGAAAGGTCCTTAGGGAACCTGCCCTTCACCCCACTCTTCATTAGCAGCCCAAACTCATCAGTCACTTCTGCATTTAGTGATGCCAAAGGACTGAAGATGAACTGAAACACGCAGGGATTATCGCCTTCAAGTGCCTGCCTTTCACAGCCACATTCCCTCAGATGCTTTACGATGACCCTCACGCTGTAACCACACCTGAGGGGCTGGTAGGAACTTGGCTCAGATACCTGCTGGCAGTCACTGAAGGGCTTTGTTCATTCAGCTTCCGCCTTCATGGAAGGGGTTTGCTGGAGATTTCATCACTCGAATAGCTTTGAGATGACTTGTCAGTAACAATTCACTTGCACTGCGTGTGAATTGTGTATTAAAATCTAAAGCATAACTTATGTGTTAGAGACTCACGATGGAAACCCCCACAGCAGGGAAATAAATCCAGATGGCTATTTCAGGAGAAGGGCTTTGCCACAGATGTGCAGTAAAAAAGATTAATATTGTTTCCACAGATGAATGTTACTTTAAAACTCGTGTATTAACTGCCTGCAGAGCTTGCCATAAAACGCTCTGCATCCCTGTTTTACATGGGTAGGGAGGAAATAATCGGAAAGCTCAGTCATGTTGCAGACAGCAGTGATGTGCTTAGAATCACAGAAAGGTTTGGGATGAAGGGAGCTTAAAGCCCATCCAGCTCCAACCCCTGCCCGGGACAGGGACCCCTTCCATAGAGCAGCTTGCTCCAAGCCCCTGTGTCCAACCTGGCCTTGAGCACTGCCAGGGATGGGGCAGCCACAGCTCCTCTGGGCACCCTGTGCCAGCGCCTCAGCACCCTCCCAGGGAAGAGCTTCTGCCTAAGAGCTCAGCTCAGGCTCCCCTGTTTCAGTCTAAATGTCCCTGTTTAAGCTCTCCCAGGCCAGGCTGGGGCTGGCGCTGCCGCTGCATCAGCCTTTGACATTCCACCTCAATGCTTTCAAAATCCCAGTATTGAAACAAATCTGATCCCTGAGAGCAGAAAAGGACCTGGAGCAAAGGCTTCATCTCCCTGCCCGTTCTCCTCGGTGCGCGGCACTCCTGGAAGGTTTACAGGCACACAGTGAGGGCAATAATCAGATTTTCTTCTCTTCTCCACTGATATTCCATCTGTTTTCAGGCCAAAAGGATGAAAATCCAATTTGTGTGTGCAGACGAATGAACACGTGTTGCCTCCCTGCAGCACTCGGGAGTGCTGGACCGTGGGAGGCAGCTCAGCCAGCTCCTCAGAGAGCATTTCCAACAGGGCAGAGAGGCACATATGGAAAAGATGAACTGAAGTTTAACAGGAACCACCAAAAATCTGTTGAGTGTTTTCATTTTGCTCTTTATAAGTAGAAGAAAACTAGTTCAGCTCTCGGGTTTATCACTTAAAAAGTAGATTTTAGTGTTCTGCATTTAAAAGAATCCAAGCAATTCTTGTTCAGATTCACATGCCAGCATTTTGTGGCTCCATGTGTTATTGCATGCAGCCATAATGGGCTAAAGGAATACAAAGGGAGTGCTCTGCATTGTGGTAACGCAAAGATTCCTTTGGATTTCACAGTCACGGCCCTGTGGGATTCCCAGTCATGGGAAAGGGCTACTAAAGCTGCTGTTTCTCTTTCCCTTGCAGCAGGGGATGTGCCATGGCATAGCATGACTGCTCTTCCCTTCACATGCCATGCCCTTCCGCAACAGCTCTGACCTCAGCCCATCCTCCTTCATCTTGGCCAGCATCCCGGGGCTGGAGGCTGCCCATTTCTGGATGTCCATCCTCCTGTGCTCCATGTACATCCTGGCGGTCACTGGGAATTGCGTAGTCATGCTCATTGTGAAGATGGAGCCCGGCCTGCACGCGCCCATGTACTTCTTCCTCTGCATGCTGGCTGCCATCGACCTGGCCTTGTCCACTTCCACAGTGCCACGCATCCTCTCCTTCTACTGGTTCGACAGCAGGGAGATCAGCTTCGGTGCTTGCCTTGTCCAGATGTTCCTCATCCACACCCTCTCGGCCGTCGAGTCCACTGTGCTGCTGGCCATGGCTGTGGACCGGTACGTGGCCATCTGCCACCCGCTGAGGCACGCTGCCATCCTCACCAACGCCACGACAGCCAAGATAGGGCTCGTGGCCATGGCCCGGGGGGTCCTCTTCTTCCTGCCGCTGCCTTTGCTGCTCCTGCCCCTGCCGTTCTGCAGCTCTCGGATGCTGTCGCACTCCTTCTGCCTGCACCAGGACGTGATGAACCTGGCCTGTGCCAACACCACCCCCAACGTGGTGTACGGCCTCACCGCCATCCTGCTGGTCATGGGGCTGGACGCCGTCCTCATCTGCCTCTCCTACGTCCTCATCCTCAAGGCTGTCTTGCGGCTGGCATCATGGAAGGAGAGGGTGAAGGTGTTCGGCACCTGCGTTGCCCACATCTGCGTGGTCCTGGCCTTCTACGTGCCCCTCATTGGGCTGTCCGTGGTGCACAGGTTTGGGAAGGACCTGGCTCCACTCGTCCACATCATCATGGGGAACGTCTACATCCTGGTGCCTGCTGTGCTCAACCCCATCATCTATGGGGTGAGGACCAAACAGATACGGAGGAGGATCCTGAGTTTAGTTCATATCTATGACAGAACTGCCCAGTGACCTGTGCCCTGCTGCTGCCTCCTGCACCCTCATACTAGACAGTCTTGTTTTACACTTGGAGTCCTTTGTGCAGGACTGTTCATTGTATGGCACATAGCACATGGTAGGAGACTGAGGTGCTGCCACAAAGCAAAAAGCAAATAGCAATTGTAAACTCCTGCCGAGAGTCTTTACACTCACCAAGCTTGGAGACAATCATGGAATAGTTTGTGTTGGAAGGGATGTTAGAGCTCATCCAGCTCCAACCCCCTGCCACGGGCAGGGACACCTTCCAACTAAACCAGGTTGCTCCAAGCCCTGTCCAACTTGGCATTGAACTGCCAGGGATGGACTCTACCACAATGACCTAAACCCAACCCTGATCCAGCAGGTAACACAATGGGAAGGATAAGGGGCTCAGCAAACTAATAAGGATGTCTTGACTTTTTGCTTCTTTGTTCCTGTATCACCCATAATAGTGGCAGAACTGAGTGAATGTTACAGTGGGGTTTGACTGGCTTTTGAGCGATAATTCATGGTTTCCACTTGTGTCCCATTCACTTTATGGAGGAGCTGATAGAGAAGGAGGAAAGAGGAAAATAAAAGTTATAGAACATATAAATCAGCACTGATGACACCATGCACATGGAAGTGTGCTTGAAGGTCTAAGATTTGAAGTGATTTAGTGTTAGGCCAGCTTGTGCAGGTTTTTATCCAGTTGGGTTCTAAAAGCCTTCAAGGATGGAAGCAGCACAACCCCTCTGGGCATCCTTCCTTTGCATTGCAAGTGCTTCTGCTGCCCCTGTACTTGCTGCAGTAATAAAAGCAAGTTCAGCTGCGAGCAATAACTAAACTTTTCAAGAAAAAGAGGGAAATACGTGGCATGAACAACAAGTTGCATCAGGGAGGACAGGAGGTCTTCCTAAGGGCTTCACTCAGGGGTTCTCGCACCTTGCCCATAACTTCTAGGTGAGCTAGAAGAGGTGTCTTACCAAAGGTAGGCATTCCCTTGCCTCGGGGCCTCCAAATGACAGCAATAAATTGTGGATTTGTGCAGTTTCTTCCAGTTGCCGGCTGACACTGGGTGCAGCTGGAGTCCTTTGTGCAGTCTGTGCTCATGCAGCATCAACCACAGCTTGTTAGAACCTCCTGTGCTCAGTTAAAGCATGCTGTACTCCACAGCAAGCACTTGGCTTTTGGTGCTTTCCGAGTCCTTGCCTCCTTGGGCTTCAAGGCTATTTTGCCCCTGTCATTTTGCAGTGTCCTGGTTTATCAGAGCTGGGAGAGGTAAAACAAATTCATCAAAATGAGCCCAGTCTGTTCCTGCCGGGTGTGACTGGGGATGCATGAAGCATTTCTCCAGGTGAGTGATGGATCCAAGCCCTTTCCGGGCACCCTTTGTGGCACTGACAAATGGCTCCTGCTCATTCTCCAGATGTTCCTTGGGGTTTTCTTTCCTTTTGTGCTGAGAGAAAAAGTAATAAAGAAAAATGGATGAACCATCCCCAAAATGCTGGGTTATTTTTCCTTGCCTGTTCCTCAGACAGACAGTTAATAGAGCTCAGAGCATCGGGGCACGGTGAACTTCTCATGGGGAGAGATGAAAACCATGTGGGATTCTTGATCTTCATCTAGTTTTCCAAACTTCAGTCATGGGGACTGAAGCCCCTTCCCTTCCTTCCCCTTCCCCTTCCCTTCCTTCCCCTTCCCTTCCTTCCCCTTCCCCATTCCCTTCCCTTCCCAGTTTTACCTGAATTTGGCTGTTTCTTGCCGGAGACAAGCCCTTGTTGCCTCTGTTTGCCCTGGCAAACAGCTCAGCACTGCCCAAAGCTTCTGTGGAGCAACAGGGCTGGTGCTGTGGAATTCATACGTGCACCACACACTTTTCACACCAGCTTTTCCCCCGTCTCCTGGGCTGGACACCCTGTGGACACTGGAGGGCATCAGGTGTGACCCTTGTGCAGACATCCCACTCGGTATGGTCCAGAGGAGTGCGGTCTGCAGGCTCCAGGAATGCTCCACCAGGCAGGACAAGGACTCCCAGTGGAAGCTGGCAGGATGCTTTGCCTCACAAGCACTCTCCTGAGCCAGAGCAAGCAGCTCTCGCAGGGATCAGCGGCTGTGTGGGAAATTGAGCTCCCAGACCCTAGCTCGTGCCGCTCTGTTTGCCACTGACCGGGTCAGGTCGATGGTGTTTGATGCTTTTTGACAGGACTCAGGAGTAGGCAAACAGGGCTTCATGTCTGTGAGCTCTTCTGCCTCATCCCACCCTCCCTACTTCCTACTTGTTAACAGCCTGTGCTGGAGAACCATAGGATCTTAGAAAGGTTTGGGTTGGGAGGTGTCCCTGCCGTGGCAGGGGGTTGGAACTGGATGAGCTTTAAGGTCCCTTCAACCCAACCCATTCTGTTGATTCCATGAACCTATGAAGTGGTGATGGTCCTCATAGAAGGAAATGGGTAGAATTCAACTTTAAGCATTAACCTTTCTTCTGTAAGGAAGGTAAAACCTACAATAACCTTATATTAGCAAACGGCAGAAGTCCTTTGTAAACATAAACCCTTTCAGACATACCAGCAATCCTCCCTGATGCAATTTCTTGGAGTGACCTGTCACAGGAGATCATTGCTAACTGGGCTGCACTATGTTAATACACACAAAATATCCCAATAAACAGGCAAATATGTTTTCCAGGATCCCTGCTCTATGTCTGGGAGAGGCAGCAGGATGAGGGGGAGGTCAGACAACCCAAACTCAGTTAGGAAACTCAAGCACATTATGGTCCTTTGCTCTATTCTTAGTACTAACCGAAGGGCCCTGATGGATGGGGAGGACATCTCTGACCTGGCCCCATGTTCCTTGCAGCTCTCTATCTTCCTGAGCAGCCCTGGCTATTGTGGCCACCACGAGGAGCCTCCAGGCCCTGCTATCTCTCAATGAGCTGGATCCAGTGGGGAAGCAAGAGGTGGAGCCCCAGAAGAGGACACGCACTTCTGCTGAAGCAAAGCAGACATCAGGCTGCAGACAAAACAGGAAATGAGACCTTTTGGCACCATTTCAGTAGAACACTTATATTTCAGCTCAGTTCATCCCTTTTCTGCAGATAAAGCAGTAGTTTCACAGACCACAGGCGAGAGGCAAGGGGGAAGCCAGAGAAGGAGAGGTACAACTGCAGTTCAGTTCATCTAAGAGCTGTTCTCAGAGCACCCATGTCATAAAACAGGGCTGCACCTTTCTTGTGGGCTGATGCTCACCCACTGGGGAGGTAGAACCCCGTTTTTCTTAAGGCCTCACAAAATATGTTCTTTTTTTCCTTTTCATCTCCATTAAGAACACGGAAGCTGCGCTCATGACCAATGTCCATCCATTCCACCACCCGGCTCCTCCAGGGCAGGAGGAGGTCTTCTAAGAGACGTCTTTTTAAAGGAGGTCTAAGAGATGCCTAACCCAAGGCAATTCCACAGTAGCCTCCCAGTGACATCTGCTCTTAATAGTAGGTTTTCATCACCCCCTTTGAGACAGTGGATCAGCCAAACAAGCGGGAATCAGAGGCACCCAGTGCCCGGAGCCCTGAGGGATTTGTGGAGTGGTGATCCAAAGATGTGTGCGCTGGCAGCTGGGATTCAAGATGCTCAGGTTTGGGTATCACTGCACATTTGAGGAACAGTGATCTGCTTTTCCAGGCTGCTTTTCACACCTGTGCTCTTGAGACTGCCAGATACTTTCATCAGTGTTTCTGCAGACCCTGTGTTAAAGTGATTATTAGTTCTAAAGGGAGGAAGTGCCCTTCCTGAAGAGGTTGTTACCCTCAGACCCTTCTCCTGTCAGCGATGGCTGTACATTCACATGTACACCTCATTTACCCAATGGGGTAGACACCAGGGTGAACCAAACTGCCCCCCCCCCGGCCGTGCCTGTTCCCCACTGTGGGGTCCCAGCAACCCTCTGGGATGCTGATACCTGTGACTGTGGGGGAGGACAACCCCTGCCTGTGTTACAGCTTGGCAAGGAGGGTTAGCAGGACTGAAATCTCAGCGTGCAGAAGTGGCTCCTGTGTGACACAGGGAGAGCCAGAGCTCTCCTCCCTTGGAGAAGGTGATGTGGTTACTGTTTACTCCATTGATGCTGGAAAACAGCACTTACGTTGGTGCACACAGGAGCATCCAAGCCCAAAATCCTTCACTCCCGGGCCAGAGATGTTCAGACGCTGCCTCTTGGCAGCAGACTGGTGGATGCTCCTTGGCTGGGTCCCGCAAAGTGCTGCTGCGCTCTCTGGGTTCTCAGCTGTGCACAGCTCCAGCTCTCGAAGATGCAGAAACCACTCAGTGCAAAGGCTCTTCAATCCGGTCTTTGCTGCCAAGGTTATTTTTAGGGAAGGAAAAGAGCGCCAAGGCTGATGCTCATGCACAGAAAGAGAGAAAAGAGGTACAAGGAATAATGATAAAAAAAGAGCTCTAAAATGAGGGTGAAGCTCGGAGCCAGCAGAGTCCTGCTCTGCAGCACACACACAGGAAGGATGTGGGAATCTCATTCACAAAGCACTGGAAACCACACTCGGATGTCAATGTGAGGAGTGCCAGTGCCAGAGCCCGGGTCCAGGTATCCGCATGCTGCTCCTTCTCTTATCCTTCTACAGGACAAGGAGAACCTGGAGCAAGGACCAGTGAACTCCCTCCATGACCCCCAAACCCAGAGGTGGGCTTTCTGGATGAGTCTGCTTTCACCCTCCATCCAGGATACCTCCCCTTAAGTCTTTGTGCCCTCTGGTGCAACACAGTCAATACAGTACCACAGCACAGCTCTCTGCATCCTGGCATAGAGAAGCTCATCATTCAGTCATGAACCAGGTACTGTGTCCCTCCATCCCCATCAGCTTTCTGCCTTCTGGCGCTGTAGCTCCCCATGGTAAGAACTGTTCACCAAGGCAAGATGCCTTCTTGCACCTCAACAGACTCTGAAGACTGGATCCCCATCAGTGGAGTGAGAGAGATGTGAAGACAGCTTTGATTTATGGCATGCTTACTCTCCTGTGAATTCTTTTGCAGGATAAGGGGGATCTTTGACTGGATGAAGATGCTGCACTAGGGAATGACCAACAGTAGCTTCCTCAGACCTTCTCCTTTCCTTTCAATAGGAATCCCAGGAATGGAAAGTGGGAATGTGTGCCTTGCCCTCCCTTTCTGCTGTCCATGCATTATTTCCATCCCAGGAAATAGAGCAACCCCCTTTGGCGTCAAAGTGCAGCATCCATGAGCCACACATCTCTCCCTGTGCGTGCTGGCTGCTGGCTATTGTGGAGCTGAGAGTGCTGCTCTTAGATTCACAGGACACGAGGCTTGATCCCTGCCTCTCCCTGATGATCTTCATTTGGTGCTTCTCCACTTTTTAGGGGCATTTTGGGTAGGCAAGATTCCCACTTCCCAGTGGCTCCTGGGCTGCCAGCCATGGCCAGGCCAGTGTTTGACATGGGCCAGATGAGGTCTTTGTGAATGGGGTTGGCTTTCATGCTGTAGATGAGGAGGTTAAACACAGGTGGGACAAAAAGGCAGATACTGGCCATGAGCACGTGGCTGAAGGGTGCAGTGTTCTTCCTCTACTGGTCCATCCATTGATGGGTTGACCATGGGGACACAGGACACGAGGACAACATAGAAGTGAGAGGGCTTTGGTCTGCTCCTCTCTGGACATGCCCAGCAAACCATCCCCAGCCCCATCTTTGCAATCCTGGCACTGGTGAGGATGGAGGAGCACCTCAGCAGATGGCCATGTGATGACCAAAGGCCATGGCCAGGAGCACTGGGGACTCCTTGAAGGAGAAGGCATGGATGCAGAGCACCTGGGTGAGGCTGGAAGCTGATCTCTCCAGCCCCAGCCCAGAAGGCATGCAGCACCATGGGCAGGGTCCACAGTCAGGCTGAGGTCCTTGGTAGCCAGCATCAAAAGGATGGGCTGGTGGAGCCTTTGACAAGCAGGATGGTGCCATTCCCAGCACTGCAATGAGGT